TGATGTGTCTTCAAAGGGAATTAAATAAGAGAAACAGAGGACCTGGGACAGATTGGTTCTTTCGAGGATTAGCTTTTCTACACAACTTTCTACACTTGTGTAGAAAGGAGGAAGAAGGCGATAGAACTTGCTTTTCCTCCTGCTTGGAGTCCACGAGAAGATACACATTATAATAATAATAAATAGCTATATAATAATAGCAGCTAGCATTTATATAGGTCTTTAAGGTTTGTTGAGCACTTTACAAATATTATCTCATTTTGATCCTCACAGCCACCATGAGAGGTATGTGCTATTATGATTCCCATTGTACATGAGGAAACTGAGGCAGACAGTGGTTAAGTTACTTGCTCGGAGTCACACAGCTAGGAACTATCTGAGGTTGGTTTTAAATATGTTCACTGCACTGCCTGGTTGCCCCATGTTTGACTATGCTTGGAGGAAGAGAGTTGGGAGAGTGGGCATGAAATGAAACTCATTTTTATCTGAAATAAAGGATGGTTGAACACACACACAAGCACACAGTTTGGTGTAGAAACACACAACTCAACAGAGAAATAATCTGGAATCGGGGGGGAGTTAAGAAAAAGAATGAAAACAATATCAGTATGAGGGAGGGGATTGTTGTAAATAAAACAAGGTCTTGATACTGAAAACAGGATTCAAAGGGGAAAAAATCAAAAGTAAAGAACTAGAATCTAAGAGGTTGTCCATCAGAAGGGGAATGGCTGCACAAAATGTGGTAATAATGGAATATTATTACACCATAAGAAATGACAAAAGAGATGATTTCAGAGAATCCTTGGGTAGTATAAACTGTAAGAACTTTGACCAACCAGGTTTCCAGAGGACCTATGTATGATGAAGAGTGCTACCCATGTCCCGGCATAGTAATTATAGACACACACAAGATGCACAAAGAGACCCCCAGGTACGGACAGGGCCATGGTTCAGAATCATTTTGCTTGACTATGCTTCTTTGTGAGAAGAGGTTTTCTCAGTTTTTAATCAGGGAGGAAGAGGTTAAGAAGAGGTTTGTTCAGTCATGCCCAACTCTTTGCGACCCCATTCATGGTTTTCTTGTCAAAGATATTGGAGTGGTTTGCCATTTCCTTTTCCATTTCGTTTTACAGATGAGGAAACTGAGGCAAACAGGATTAAGTGACTTGCCCAGGGTCACACAGCTAGGAAATGTTTGAGGATGGATTTGAACTCAAGAAGATGAGTCTTTCTGACATCAGGCCCGATACTCTATCCATTGTGCCACTTAGGAAGAGAAATAAATATATGCTCCAAAAGGAGGGCCAGTGAAACTTTTTTTTAATGTTCAGAAGGAAAATGGAGGAAGTTCAGAAGGAAGCATAGACAAGAGGGACAGTTTCGAAAGTGATGTATGGAATTCTTGTGCATTTTTTAAAAAATGTAAGTGGTATGAAGTGGAGTTTCATGGTTTCATAGGTAATCTTATTTTTATGTTCTGTGTATGGAAATGGTTTCATTTTAAAAATGAAAACATTTGTTACTTGAAGAATTTTTCTTGGTGTGAATGTAAGTCTTGCTTCCTTCATTTTTCTTTGAACCCTTTACACCAGCCCAGAGAAGGGAAGAGACTTCCCCAAAGTCACATAGCTATTCCTTACCCCTATCTCTCTTTGTATCTTCTTCTGCCTCACCAAGATGGGGAGATGCCCCTAAGCTAGTGAATATCCAGACTACAGTGGAGGATCTTAGGATCACAGACCCAGAACCAGAAGGCAACTCATGGGCAATCCAGCCCAACCCCCAACTTCATGTTATAGTTGAGGAAACTACAGCTCAGAGAGGGACGTGATTTGCCTAAAGTCAGAGCGGTAGTTGGCACCAAAGTGGGGACTGAAACTCAAGTCCTCTGATGCAAAGAACAGCCTTCATCCACAGTACCATGCCACCTCCTTTCAGTGAACCCACAATTTTTCATCCAACACTTTACTGTCTCTTCTAGCCTTGTGGCATCTGAAAATTTTATAAGCATTCAATCCAAGTCACTGATAAAATGTCCAATGATATCAGACAAAGCACAGACATCTAGGACGCTTCACCAGTAGACATCAAATCATTACTGACTATTCTTTGCGTGTTCCATGTCCCAAGGTTCCCTGGACCAGCACTGATCAGATTCATTAATATGATCTCAGTTCCTGGCTAAATTGGTTTGTGAAACATCGATCTGGACCAGGGCTTCTTAATCCTTTTCGTGCCCCAGATCCCTCTGGTAGTCTGTTGATGCCTATGGATCCATTCTAAGGATAAAAATTTTTTAATTATATTTTATTTTATTATTGTAAAAACAATTTTTAACATTTTTTAAATTTCGAGTTTTGAATTTTTCTCCCTCCCTCCCTTTCCCTCTCCCTGAGATGGCAGGCAATTTAACATGCTATATATGTGCAAAAGAATAATGTTTTAAAGTGCATATAATAAAATACATAAAAATACAAAGAAAACTGATTATATTTAAATAGTTATCAAAATATTTTAAAGCATAAGCTTAAAGAGCCAAAGCTAAGAACCTTAATCTAGACCAAATTCTTCATTTTATAGAGGAGGAAAAAAGTCCCAAAGAGGGAAAGAAGAGCTTGCCTGACATCACATAGCTAGTAAATGACAGAGCCAGGACTAGGACCCTCTCTTGACCCCCTATCTCTGGCCCATCAATAAACCATGCTTTTGTTTTGAAAGTACGAATCGGGGGGAAAAAAAAGAACCTGAGCCTGATGAGAACATTTACTGCAATGGTAACACATGACAGGCAGGCTGGCTGGCAGGGGAGTTCTCTCTAATTAAGTCTGTGCTCAGTCTACATGGAATTAATGTTCCTGGAAGCTGGGAGCTGCTCTGTGGAGACAAACGCCAGAGATCTGTGGTGAGTGCGTCACTACAAGGCATCAATTTGGTGTTGATAGCAATGACAAGGTCAAGAAGAGGATGGCTAGGAGATTCTCCCCCCACCCCCACCCCACCCCACCCCTGGCCTTCCCACAAAACAAAACAAAACAAAAAAATAGAAGAAAAGACACGTGCAGGGTATCAGGGAGAGGCTGAGAAGTACTTACAGATGGAGAATGGAGCTACTGCAGGGAAAGACTGTAAGATCAGCATCCGCCTAGAAGCTGCCACCTAGGAGAGGTTTTCAACAATAATAGGCTAGTAGCATTAAGAGCAAAACTCCTACAGGCCTGTGTGTGACAAGAAAAGCAAGGAAATCCACTATACTAGTAGAAGGCTGGAACTAGAATCAAAGGACTTAGATTCATTTCCCAGCCCTACGACTTTCGGGGTGCCCTCAGACAAGTCACTTCCTTTCTCTAGGTCTCAGTCTCCTCATTTGAAAAAAGGGGGGGGCGGTTGTACTACATATCTAAGTAGCATTCTATCCACTGCACCACCTGGCTGCCCACAAATTGTGGATGAGTTCAAAAATGACCTGTGACCTGGAAATATAAGTGATAACAAAAACCTATTAGCTGTTTTACATGATTGCACATGTACAATCTATATCAGATTGCTTACCATCTCAGGGAGGAGGGAGCGAGGAAGAAAATTTGGAAGTAAAGACTTTTAAAAAAATGTTAAAAATGATTTTTACATGTAATTGGGGGAAAATAAAATATAAAAAAAATTCTATTAGTGGCAAATGTGTAATTCTATAAGTAATGCACAAATACTATGTTACCCAAGAGGGCAAAGGACAAGCAGGGTAGTGTCGGTGTTGCTGTGCTAATTTGGACTTGTACTTTTGAAAAAGTGATATGAAATAGATGCATAGTTTCACATAGAATCTTCTTGTGTTATCCATTGTTTGTGGGCACATTTGTTCCTGATTGTCAAGTTCTTAATAAAGAAAAAATGTTTAAGCACTATATTAACTATGGAAACAGCCACAAGCATTTAATTGTATTCAACAGATGTCACTGTCCCAAATGCTGGTGATAGAAACTTAAATGTTGAACCAATCCCTACCTTCAAGAAGCTTACGCTCTATGTGGAAGAATACTACATGCATATACGTGTGCATCCAGTTATTTGATGTGAATTTAAGACGGAGGGAACTAGAAACCTGTAGGAGGCTGGAGGCAAGAGGCAGTGGGGTGGGTATCAGAAAAGACCTCAAGTAGATAGTAGTTAACAGAGGTGTGCTTTGAAGGATGCTGGGGATCTATGTAGTATGCAAAGGATGCGAGACTGGGAATGAAGTGTCTAATTCGGAGGTTCCCAAACTTATTTGGCCTACTGCCCCCCTTCTTAAAAAAAAATACTCAGCAACCCCCTGGAAATCATTCCCTTAATGGGTTTTTTTGACAATTTGAGTCATTTAAAAAATATATAAAATATATATTTTTTAAATGATGCACCTAAAATTAAATAATCTATTGCAAATCTGTAGATTTTTTTCTCCTGCACTGAATTTTGATGACACAATATTACATCACATAACCATATAGTATCATATTGTAAACAAGTCATTACCTGCACATATTTCTGCCAATGCTGGACTTCCTGACAATGCACGACATGCTTGTCTGCCAACACTTGCTTGTTAAGACTTGACAGCGGACTTGACCACTGATCAGTTATAACTTGCATTTTGTGTGTTTACTGGGAAAACAATGTAATCACTATGACTTTAACTCTGTTACACGACAAATCAAACATGTATGAACAGTTTTTCAAAATTTTCTTATCTTCTCTTCTTTCCTTATGCCTCCACCACCCCCTTATTTTTATTCAACACCCCCCAGTTGCACCCCAGGCTAGCCCCCCTTGAATCATTCCAGTGCCCTCCAGGGGGCAGTATCACCCACTTTGGGAACCCATGGTAAATAAAACACCACAGTCTTCTGTATAAAAACAAAAGAACAAGAGGATGGGACCCACGGGCTGGTGCATCTGGGAAGAGCTGAGGTCTCTTAATGTTGGCGGCAGCGGGGCTTCTGGCTGACATTTGTTTCTTTCTCTGGCAGGCACAACTGTGCACAGCATGAGTGCTCTCAAGATGGATGGGCAAACTGAGCTGGAGAGAGCAGATCCCGGGCTGCAGATTCCCATCCTCATCCAGAGACAAGCTCCATCTCAGAAAAGCCTTCGAGAGATGGCAAAGGCTAAACTGAGGAGGAGCTGCTCCCTGACCCCGGCCAGGCTGAAGGATGCTGTTCTGGGCTTCTTCCCTGTGATAGTATGGCTTCCTAAGTACCGCTTCAGAGAATACATTGTGGGTGACATCATGTCCGGCCTCGTCATTGGGGTCATCTTGGTCCCTCAAGCCATTGCCTATTCCCTGCTCGCAGGCCTCAAGCCCATCTACAGCCTCTACACGTCCTTCTTCGCCAACATCATCTACTTCCTAATGGGCACCTCCCGGCACGTGTCTGTGGGCATCTTCAGCCTGCTCTGCCTCATGGTGGGGCAAGTGGTAGACAGAGAATTACAGCTGGCCGGGTTTGACCTGAATGAAGACATCTCCCCAGCCAGCAGAAACAGCAGCAACGAGACCTTCTCAGCTTCTGATCTGCCCCTGGGGAACGTGGGTCCAGAATGTGGGAAGGAATGCTACGCAATCAGCATTGCCACCGCCTTGACTTTCCTGGCCGGAGTCTATCAGGTAAGAGTCCCAGCCCAACAAAAAGGTTCCCACTGACTCAAGCCCTTTGTAGTTTGGTACCACTTTACTGACATTAACCTTCAAGAATCCAGAATCACCTTCAGAGCATGAGAAGGGATCAGAAAAAAGGATGACCATTTACTTACTCCTACAAAGCTTTTTTCATATGTGTTATATTATTCGATGTTCCCCAAAGCCCCATTTTACTGGAAGTGGAAACTGACGCTAAGAGAGAAGCAATCACACCCCAGGGTTTCATAGCTAGTAAGTGGCAGAGCCCAAGACCGCTAGATGAATGAATACAAAGATCTGTTTCTCTGCCTCTGACAATTCACTTTCTTTACTACTTGTGTGATTCTAGGTATGTCTCTTAGGGCCTCAGTTTTTTCATCTGTAAAATGACAGAATTAGTCTAAATGATCTCAAAAGTCCTTTCTAGTTCTAAAATTATAATCTGTTTTTTTTTAATTTATTTATTTATTTAGTTTTCAACATTCACTTTAAGATTGAGTTCTAAATTTTTCCTCCCTCTCTCCCCTTTCCCCTCCCCAAGACAGAACACAATCTGATATTGGCTATACCTGAACACTCATATTAAACATATTTCCACATTAGTCATGTAAAACTATAATCTTTACTGTGGCTTCAGTTTCCCCATCTATAAAATGAAAGAAAGAGTTGGATTAGATAGGGAATTCTTAAGCTTCTTCTATATCAGGTACCCTCTCTGGCAATCTGGTGAAACCTATGGACTCCTTCTCAGAATCAGGTTTTTAAAAAATAGTATCTATATATTTTATCGTGTTTTTGTTTATCTTGTTAAATATTTCCCAATTACTTTTTTGTCTTAATTTTTTTCTTTTTTGTCTTTTTTAGAATCATTTTGGTTTTTTTTTTAAATAATCATATTGAAGGAAATGCTAAATGTCATTTGGAGGTTCATGAAAATAAAGTTCTAATTTTTTTTTCCACCCAAGTTCCTGGACTCCCTGAAATCTATCTACACACCCTTTCGGGGGCCCTGGACCCCAGTTTAAGAGCCCCCAGACTAGATGGTCTCTTTTCCTGCTCTGACACTTTGCAAGTCTGTGATTTTATCACATGCTCAGTATCAGGAGGCTAGGATAAGGACAAAACAGTGCCTGCGTCTTTTTTGGTTTCTCTCTGAGATAAGGGAGGTATAAAAAGATAACCACAAATACTGGGCAGCATATGACTTCCCGACACCTGCCAGGTACAGACAAAAAACACTGGGGGAGCTCAGCCATCAGGGTGGCTCCACAGAGAAAGGAATCTTAAAGGATGGGGGACATTTTGCAAAGTCAGAGTGTCAAAAGAGAGCAGCACTCCTAGTAATGATGGCATCAATGATTATGCTAATAGCAATCACATAAGGCTTTCCTCACAAAGGGGATGGTAATCTTCAGAGTAACTGTGCAAAGATTCCAATACTATTTTACCAAGGAGGAAACTGAGGCCCAGAGAAATGAAGAGCCCTGCCCAGTCACAGAGCTAGTAAATGACAAAGCCAAGATTCAGACATAGCTCTTCAGTTTCTGCAACCTGAGACTGGAAAACAGCAGGAAGGAGAAAAGGTGTGGAATTAGTGAAGAACTATCTGTTCCAGGGGTGAGGAACTGAATCCTCTGAATTCAGTCAAAGGGCCACACATGAGGACCTAGAGGGCCACAGGTTCCCACCCCTGAATTTCTGTTCCAGGGACAGTAAGCAGACCAGCCTGGCTGCACCAGAAGGACAATACTTTTTTTAAATAAATTTTTTATTGATTTATTTTGCTTTTACATTACCTAGATTTCCCTGTATTCCACGCCTTTCCTCCTCTTCCATTGTCCTTTAGACAAAGAATATTTTTCAAGAAAAAGGAGAAAAAAAATCATCAAAACTTCTCAATGCAGCAAAAAAAAATCTGACATTGAATGCAATGTTCCAAACCCCATGGGGATAATATTAATAGGGAAAATTATTCTCTTGTTAGTAATGACAGTGGCCAGAAGGCAGCATAGGGCCCCAGGTGCATGTTTGTTAAGAGGGAAAGCTACTTGGTGTATTGAAGAAACTGCATGGCCAGGAAGTCAGGAGACAAGACATCTAATCCTGACTCTGTCACTAACCCACTATGTGACCCTGGACAAAGTAACCTCACAACTCTTAACTTCAGTTCCCCCCGTATAAAAAGTGAGAGAACACAGCATTTCAGAAGAAGGATCAGGTCCCTCCTAATTCCAAGTCCCTCAACCACTCTACTATGATATATTAAGTTTTTCTTTCTACTGTCACATGTGAAGTTTTTTAATTGCATCAACTCAAAACAGATTGTCTTCGATAAATAGAATCCATGTTGGGCTGTGATTTGCTTCAGTGCAGGGAAGACTCACATTGATAAAACCATGGATCACTGAAAGTGGGAAGATAAGGCTTAAAACCAATGTCTGGGTTACCTTCCTGGTTAAAATGCTTGTAAGCTTTGGTGGGGACCTTTTAGACATAAACCGAAAGTTTCCCCTCTCTGGTGTTTTCTACCCCTACACCTGTAATCAATCTACTGTGCAGCCATGCCTTCACTGAAAGGAATGCCTCTCTAATGATGAAATTTCAGAAATGGTGAAATGTTGCTAGGGAGAGACATTTTTTCAGACACTGACTCACTAAGTGACCTCGAGCAAGCCCGTTCCTTCTCTGGACTTCAGTCTTCTTAAATATAAAATGGGAGGGTTGAACTGTGTGGTCTCTGAGGTGCTTTCAAGTTCCACATTCTATATTCAAAAGCAGAGGTGCCAAAAGCCAGCCAGCAGCAACCTGAGTGTGACCCAAACCACTGTAATGGGAAATGTTTAACAAAACTAATAAAACATTGATAACACTACATTTTAAAACTGAGCCAATACGTGGTCTGCAGGGATCCCTATGTAGGTTGGTGGCCCCTACTTCTATTTGAGTTCGAAACCACTGTTCTAACACTCCTTTAACAGCTCCGGTGGTGTGTAGTTCTAGATTCACAATTAACTATTTGGTCCTAAATGTTTCACCTGCCCCTCTGACACTGCGCATTCTGTTTCTAGGTTCTCATGGGACTTTTCCGGCTTGGTTTTGTCTCCACGTACCTCTCACAACCTCTTCTGGATGGGTTCGCCACAGGGGCCTCCTTAACAATCTTAACCTCCCAAGTCAAATACCTCTTTGGAATAAAGATCCCCCGTCATCAGGGATATGGTATGTTCCTCGTCACGTGGGTGAACATGGTTCAAAACCTCCCCCAGGCAAACGTCTGCGATGTCATCACCAGCGCCATCTGCTTAACGGTGCTGCTGGCAGCCAAGGAGCTGGCGGACAGGTACAAGAAGCAGATGAAGATTCCTCTACCCACTGAGCTCATCGTCATTGTCACTGCCACTCTGGTGTCTCACTTTGGGAATCTTCACGAGCGCTATGGCTCCAGCATCTCTGGGGACATTCCAACTGGGTTCATTCCTCCCAAGGCGCCCAACTTTGGCTTGATGCACCGTGTAGCCCTAGACGCTGTTCCCATAGCTGTCATTGGATTTGCCTTCACAGTCTCACTGTCAGAGATGTTTGCCAAGAACTATGGCTATACTATCAAGGCCAACCAAGAGATGTTTGCAGTTGGCTTCTGCAACATAATCCCCTCTTTCTTCCACTCCTTCACCACCAGTGCAGCCTTGGCTAAAAGCCTAGTCAAGACCTCCACAGGGTGCCACACCCAAGTGTCCAGCGTGGTCAGTGCCATCGTGGTACTGTTGGTGCTACTATTCCTGGCTCCATTGTTCTACTCCTTACAGAAATCCGTCCTGGCCTGCATCATCATCGTCAGCTTGAAGGGGGCTCTATGGAAGTTCAGAGATGTGCCCAGGCAGTACCAGGTGAACAAAGTGGATGCCTTGGTATGGGGTATCACCATGGCCTCTTGTGCCCTCATCAGCACTGAAATCGGGCTGCTGGTGGGTGTCCTCTTCTCCGTGTTCTGTGTTGTGGGCCGCACACAGCACCCACGCGTGGCCTTGCTCGGCCAAATTGAGAACACCATTTTCTACGAGGACAGCAAACAATATGACAACCTTCTCCCTGTCCCCAAGATAAAGATATTTCGCTTTGAAGCCCCTCTCTATTATGCAAACAAAGACTTCTTCCTAAAATCCCTCTACAAGATGACAGGCCTAAACCCCACATTAGAAGCAGCAAAGAGGAAAAAGTGTGAGAGGGGGAAGCCTATCATGGATGAGAGGCATGTGGAAAGGGGAGCCATTAGAGAATTGGGCCAAGCCGATGCAACCTGTCACCTGGTCCCTAAACAAAGTGAATTTCACACCATCATCATCGACTGCTCCTCAGTGCTATTCCTAGACACTGCTGGCATCAGCACACTTAAAAATGTGCAGAAAGATTACAGGGCCATGAACATTGCCATTCTCCTCACAGGCTGTAACCCATCCGTGAGAGACTCTCTGAAGAGAGGCGGCTACTTTGGCAATGATGACCCAAGCGTGAAGGAATTACTGTTCCACAGCGTGCATGGGGCAGTGCAGTTTGTCCGGGCCAGGGAGCAAATGATGGACTCCACGGTCTAGGGCTCAGACCCCTGATGGCCCCTGTAAGGCAGCAAGGGAACACTCCCACACAGAGGCTCGGGAGGGGGGGAGGGGCAGAATCCCTGCTTTGGAAGCAAACACTGTTAAGGGTTCGAATCCCAGCTCTGTTACTCACAAGCTGAGTAGCCTTGCATCAGCCCTTCCTAAGCCTCAGCTTGCTCTTATGTAAAATGAAGGATTGAACTAGATCATTTCTCTGGTTCTTTCTAGCTCTCAATCCTAGGATCCTAGAAAGATTACTTTTTTTTGGGGGGGGGAATATTCTAACCATTATTAGACATCTGCTTTCTTTTATCTAAAAAGAGAACAATAGACTGAGGAGGTCTGTCAGCCCAGGGCTTTCCCTCAGGGGTTAGAGACACCAAGGAAGAGGAGGTGCTAAGGTCTCAAAAACTCCCTGTGTCAGCAGAAAGACACCACACCCAAGTGTGCCTTACAAAGTTACACTGTGCATCTGCACCAGTCACTGTCTCATCTGGGCCACCCCAGGTCCAGGCCTCTGCACACAGTAGGTGCTGAATAAACACCTGTTTCTTAACAGGTACCTGTTGAATGAATGAGTGAATGCATCTTCAGCTTGGGTTGAACTGGAAAGAGTCTCTTCCAACTCAGCAATTTTGTGATTCTGTGAATGTCACAATGTAGTTATCTATGTGTTTCTATAACAGGTAGTAGTCTCTTTGTCTTGGGGAGGGCAAAGAAGTGTCATGGCCAATGAGCAAGTATTCAAAAACACAAATGCTTCCCCTCCCCTGCCTGCACACCCACATACTCATAAACTTAAAAGCTCTTGTTCTCACAGACATCCCGCTGCACTTCCCTCTCTCCCCTTGCCTCCTGCACATACCCACATATGACACCCCCATACATACAGCCCCACCTTTCCCACCTCTTCCTGTCACAACACACCCACCCTTCTCTGTACACTTTTGCGGCAGTGGGTATAGAGGAAAGTGTGCTGGACTTTAAGTCAACAGATCTAGGTTCAAATTCCAGTTCTGACACTAACCAGTAATCTTAGGCAGACTGCTTTAACTCCCTAGGCATCGGTTTGTTAATCCGGATAATGGGGAGAGTGATACACACACAGCCTACCTCACAAGGCTGTTGTGGGGAAAGTGCTTTGTAAACCTTAAAATGCCACCGTGGCTGTTTTTGTCACTATGATTAGGAGACGCTATAGGCTAAATAATGAGCTACACAGATGGATGGAACAGACTTCCCAGTCGGCTTCTCAGGAAGGAACCGTGCCAAAGGAAGAAAATCCAAAGGAAAGCTACTTTTTCCCTTCTCACACCTTGGAACTGGAGAGTTTCTGAACCAATCTCTCTACTTTTATCTATCTGTAGTCAACAGAGCAAGAGAGGTGGGGCTTCTCTGAGGGCTATTGGCAGTAGCCTTCCTGGCCCCACATCTCAAGTACCGGCATCCCTGATAGAGCTCACAGCCCCTCCCACCATGATTATGAAGGAGAGGACAACTGCAGACCCAAGATAAGGCAGCACTAGGGAAAATGCATCCTCAGTATCTGCCTCTGCTTCTAACTCTGTCCCTTTTAAGCTACACACACACACACACACACACACACACACAGAGTATGTGTTATAATTGATAAAATGTATGGCAGTAAGCCTTTCTGATGCATCCACATTCACTATCACTTTGAGTAGGGCCCACACCCTCTATGGGCCTCAGTTTCCAAGATGAGGAGGTTGGGCAGGGTGGGGAACCTGTGACCTTGAGGCCACCTGTGGCCCTCTAGGTCCTCAGGTTCGGCCCTTTGACTAAATCCAAACTTCACAGAAAAAATCCCCTTAATAAAAGGGTCTGTAAAAGTTGGACTCAGTCAGAAGGCTGCACCCAAGGACCTAAGAAGCTCCAGGCTGCAGGTTCCCCACTCCTGGACTACATGATTCCTTCCAAATAAGTGACTCTAGAAGACCAGAAAACCTTCAAGGCTCAAAAGAATGAATCTTGGGGCAGCTAGGTGGTGCAGTGGATAGAGCACAGGCCCTGGAGTCCAGAAGACCTGAGTTCAACTCTGTCCTCAGACTCTTACTAGCTGCGTGACCCTGAGCAAGTCACTTGATCTCAACTGCCTCAAAAAAAAAAAGAATGTATCTATCAGTAGAATCAGGTTTCCTATTGATTTCCCCATGATAGGAAGGAATGAAGGCATTCCAGGGAGAAAGTCTTCCTTGGGGATCCTGCAGATGCTGTCCGCTACAGGTCCTAAGGTCCTTTCTTAACCTGCTTGATTCCTTACACTTCCCTTTCTTGAGTCACATTGACCTCAGTCAACTTTCCCTGTTTTCTAGATTCCTTTTGGAACCAAAATCCTGGGAATCTTTGCTCTTGGTCCCAGAGCTCTTTCTTTTTCACTACTTTCTAAACCTTCCCACATCCCCCAGTCTTCCAAATCAACCTGCTGAGTCCCTGACCTTGTTGTCTGTAGTGCCTGGATTCCCGGGTTCAAAGGGCCAGATACAAGACACCTGAGTTCATATCCCAACTGTGCTATTAACTAGCTGTATCATTTTGGACAAGTCCTTTTCCCTCACAAGGAAGGAAACATTTATAAAATGTCCACTGTATGCCAGGCACTGTGCTAAGTGATTTATAAATCCTTACAACTCTGGTAGGTAGGTGCTATTATCATCCAAACAGATGAGGAAACTGAGGCAGGCTGAGGTTAAATGACTTGCCCAGAGTTGCACAGCTGGTAAGGGTCTGAGATCAGATTTGAACTCAGGTGTTGACCCCAGGTAAAGTGCTCTCGCCGCTGTACCACCTAGCTGTCTACTTGTGTCACTACTCAGTCATTTTTCAGTGGTGTCCGATTCAGAGAAGAGTTCTACTGGAGTTCTTTGCCATTTCCTTCTCCAGCTCATTTTATAGATGAGGAAATTGAGTCAAACAGAGTTAAATGGCTTGTCCAGGGTCACCCAGCTACTAAGTGTCTGAGGCTGGATTTGAACTCAGGAAGTTTTCCCAGTTCCAGGCCCAGCACTCTATGCACTATGGCGCCACCTAGTTGCCCAGCTGAGTACTAGGACTTGGTTTTCTCCTGGCTTACGACAATAACAACATTTACATAGCATTTACTATGTGCCAAGCATTGTGCTTAGCATTTTACAATTATATATTATTATCTTACTTGATCCTCACAGCAACCCTGGGAGGGAGGTGCTATTATTATTCCCATTCTACAGATGTAAAATGAAGAACCAGATTATATGACCACTAAGGTTCAGTCCAGCTGGAAGGAGCCATTACTCTGCTGCCCATGATCCCAAACGACCCACTCCCTTCTCCTGCCACTGCCAACACTGCCTTAACTGGATGTCAAAATCTGGTACCATCTGCCCCCTCCTCTCCTTCCATGGCTCCATATACTACAGGCCACATGCATACATTTCCTAGGAGGAAGAAACTACGTGGCCTCAGAAATAACACTAGAACAAGGTCACTAGATGAAAGAAAGCACACTAGTCCCAAATAGGGTGTTGCTTAGGCTTGCTAAGCTATCCTGTCAAATTAGAGTTTCCTCTATCTAACTTAGCCTAGGGTCTTCTCTAGGCTTGGTATATCAAGAGAGAGAGAAGGAAAGGGGGGAGGTGGAGGGAGAAGGGGGAGGGAGAGAGGCAGGAAGGAAGAGAAAGACAGAGAGAGAAACAGAGAGAGAGACAGAGAGAGAGACAGAGAGAGAAAGAGAAAATGGCAACCCCTATGCCAAACTTGCTCAATTTTTTCCAGATTCTTTTTGGCCAGTAAGGGAATCTTTGGATTACACAGTAGGTTAGGTGGTGTTCTGTCCACTCACTAATTTCTCCCTGCCTCCTCAACCAAATGGGAGTTAAGGAAACAGGCAGGTGAAGCTAGGGTTCTCGTTCCTCGGCATCCCACTGACAAAGGCTGAAGAGAAGCCCACCGATCCTCTCCCTGTATCACCTTCCACCCTTTCCTCTCTTCCTTCCAGGACCATGCTATAGCCCATGCTGACAACTACCCTTCACAGCCCAGACTCAGGCCAGAGAACTTCAGACTGAGCTCTCCTGGGAGTTCTGACTGGCTGTTTTGGGGGCAGAAAACTGAGCCCAGCTCCTCCCTAGCTAGGAAGCTGAGGGACCAGCCCAGCATCAGCTCTTCTCTACCACTTTTCTACATTTGCTTCTTTAAAATACATGTTTACATTTTCATGTTTTATTAGAAACTTAGCATTGACTAACAACACAACTTCATTTGTTTGGCAACTCTTTACATTTAAATGAATTCATTTCAAGGCATCAGGACCCTTTTTCAGTCCCTTCCTCTAAGTCTCTCTCCACGAGTCAATAAACATTTATTAAGTGTTCACCATGTTCAAAGCACCATGCTAAGAGCTGGGGCTACAAAGACGGGCCCTGCCCTCAAAGAGCTTACAATCTACTGACCAAAGAATCCTAATGGATTCTGTTTTTCCTTCTGCATCCCTTCCCCTTTCCATTCTCCTTTCTAGACACTGTCATCAGAAGAAAGTACAGGCAACTAGGAATCAGGAGGCCTGGGTTCTGGTCCTGGCTCCATCACTAACTTGAATCCAAAGGTCATTTCCCTTCCCTGGGCCTCAGTTTCTCCATCTGCCAAATGGGGACAGCAATAATCCCTGTTCAACCTACCTCACAGGAAGACATGAAGACCAGAAGAGAAAACTGATTCAAAAGCACTTTGGAAAGTTTCAAGTGTTCTATTCATATGAGGTAGTGATATAGAAGTCAATATTTCTACAGGACATGGGACAGAGAGAAATTTGTCAAATGTTCTCTTACTCCTGAACTCCCTGAGGCTTTGCAAGGGAACACATTTCTGTAATCATGATTTAGTATTATAATTATATTATACCACATTAATTGTTTATCATTACTAATTAGTACTAATAATTAAGTCTTATAATTATAATAGCATATTATATTAATAATTATTCATTACTTCAAGCATTATAATATAATCCAACATTCTTTTTTTAAATTTTAAGTTCCAAATTTTCTCCTTACCTCCCCCCTCCTTAAGATGGCCAATTACATGTAAAAACAAATTTTAACATTCATTTAAAAAAATTTCTGTGTTCCAAAATTTCCCCCTTCCTCACCTAATAATATCATTTATTTAACAACTAATTGGCGATTTTATTTTATAACAGACTTGCAAGGAAACTCCCTCCACCAGTGCATATCAAAAATTATTTTGCAACTTACAGTCTTAAAAAATTTCTTGGGACACTGTGAAGTTAAAAGACTTATTAATTAATAAGTGTCAGTAGTGGGACTTAACCCCAAAGGCAGCTCTGTATCCAGCAGACTATTGTGACTGTAGCACTGAGTATTCACTGGCAGTCTCCCATTCAAGGACTAACCAATCCTGAACCTGCTTAGCTGAAGAGATCAAGCGAGACTGGTCCCATTCAGAGTGGTGTGTATATAGAATATGTCTGGTGATTTAATAATGACAGACAAGATAAAGTATTAACAAAACTTAATAACATCATACTATATTGGGTCCAGACCTGTGATTTCATCAGGGTGCTGGGCTTGGAGTCAGGAAGACTGCCTCAAATATTTACTATCTGAGTGACCCAGGGAAAAACATTTACCCTTCCTAGGCAAAGCTTCCTATAAAATGATGGAGGTGGGGTCAGCTAGGTGGTGCAGTGGATAGAGCACCGGCCCTGAAGTCAGGAGGACCTGAATTCAAATCTGGCCTCAGACCAAACACTTGACACTTACTAGCTGCGTGATCCTGGGCAAGTCACTTAACCCCAATTGCCTAAAAGCAAAAAAAAAAAAAATGACGGAGGTGGACTTGATGGCTTCTAAGGCCCCTCTTAGCTCTAAATCTCTGATCCTAACATCCTCTGACCACCGCTGAGGACTTACGTTATGGCAGATTTCTCCACCAATGCCAATTTGCCACTGGCTCTCTAGTTATTAGGCCATACTGCCTCTCCTGTATGTCATTATATTACTACAATACATAATATTATGCCTAACAATAATATTAACAATAACTAGTGTTTAAATAGTGCTTTAGGGTTTATAAAACACTATGCAAATATTATCACGTGATCCTCACAACAATCCTGGAAGGCAGGTGCTATTATTCCCATTTTACAGATGAGTAAACTGAGGGCACACAGAGGTTAAGTGACTTGCCCAAGGTCATATCACAAGTGTCAAAGGCCAGATTTGAACTCAGGTCTTCCTGATTCCAAGTCCAGAGCTCTATCTAGCTCTCATACCTAGCTGTCCCAAGTGCTACCTGAGTGATGTGCCCAGGGCCACATAGCTAGTAAATGATGATATTGGATTGGAACTCAGGTCTTCCTGATTCCAAGACCAGTACTCTATCCACCGTGCCACCTACTTGCCTATTAAATACTAGAATACAACAATATAATACTCTATTACTATCAGTCAATAAACATTTTTAAAGCACCTGTTATGTGCCAGAGACTCTGCTAAGCATAATAATCCTCCCCAAGCCAATATAGCATGAAAGTGACCCTTGATTCCTGAAGGCAATGCCAACATAGCTTAAGTTCTGGCAAGTCCAGACAAACTGGAAAGACTTTGGGTCCAGGTCCAGGGATGGACTGTGTGGTATCCCCTGCCTGAGGTTCAGTCTAGCTCAGGGCAGAGACCTCTATATTCCAGCCAGATCTCAGCCACAGCAACTCATGACAAATTTTCTGTTACACCATAGAGGAGCAGTGATCTGTGTTTGTGGAGAGAGAAATCTATGTTAGGGGAATCAGAGATTTCTAGAATAGTCAGTGATGATGAGGTAATAATAAAGCTGCCTTGTGGTACAGTGGATAGAGTACTGGAGGTAGGAAGACCCAAGTTCAAATCCAGCCTAAGACACTTAGCTGTGTGACCCTGGGCAAGTCACTTAACCTCTGTTTGCCTCAGTTTCCTCATCTGTCAAATGAGCTAGAAGGAAGTAGCAAACCACTCCACTATCTTTGCCAAGAAAACCCCAAATAGGGTCACAAAGAGTCAGACAGGACTGAAACAACTGAACAACAAAATAGGGATAATAACAGCACCTAACTTGAAACAGGATTCTCAAAACAGGATTGTTTTGAGACTCCAATGAGATAATATTTGTAAAATGCACTTCTTGGCACATGGTACATGCTATATAAATGCTTACTTTCTTACCTTCCCCCTATCATTAATAATAATAATAATAGTATAATAACATTTATATGGTACTTCAAGGTTAGCAAAACATTTTTGTCACATGGACCTGCAAAGCAGAAAGTGCAAGTGTGATGATCTCCATTTTACAGATAAAGGGACTGAAGCCCCGAGTAGAGAAATGACTTGGCTAAGGTCATGCTGCTAGGGAATGGCAGAGCTGGAGCTAGAACCACAGCCTCTCGGCTCCTCGTCCTGGCTTCCTTCCATCACACCACCTCAGGTAGAAGGCACAGCCCCAGGCTTCTCTCATGTAAATTTCATAGCTGCTTGTATAGTTCCCCAGGAAATCAACAGGGCTCACCTGGCTGTGATGAGGTCCAGTAACCAGTGGATCCTGATCTGTTCGATGCCCCTGTGAGGGATGGACGCAATGTAGGCGAGATTGAGCTGCTGGTCTTTGCTGAGATCATACAGGTCTGACTTTTCATGGGGCAAAGGAGGGCTGGAAAAACCAACAAGATTGAGAAGAAAAGTCACTCCCAAGCCATATTCACAGATACCCCACACTTAATGTGCCCCTGGTAAAAGCACACCTATTATGTAACAGGTATATGTTGAGTACCTAGAAGCATAAAATAATTCAGCTACTACAGAGGCCATATAGCATACAACCCCCTAGTCAATGTGGAAATACTTTCCATTGTATCCTTAACAAATGGATCATCCAAGCCTCTGCTCGAACTTTTCTGCCACAGGGAGATCACTATCTTTTAAGGCAGCTGCTACCTGGTGTTTTTTAAGTAATAAGTGTTTATTGTCTCTCCTTCCTACCCCCCCATCCCACAAATTGAAAAATAAATAAGAAAAAAAGCCTTTAGAGCAAATACGTATAGTCAAGCAAAAACATTTTAAAATTCCCAAACTGGTCAGGTCCCAAAACGCAAATGTCTCATTCAAGGTATGATGGTTCATTTTAATGAAATGCTTTCTCCCTCCTCTTTTTAATTCTTTGTTATAAGGGATGGCTTTCTGATTGGAGGAGGACAGGTATGTTGGGAAGTGAAATTATATAAGAAGCAAAAGATACTACTACAAATTTAGAAATTTCCATCCTAGGGGAAAGCCCTGACTGCTCCAACTAAGTTATATCTCTGGTACTGGAAGCTTGCAGATTCTGCTTTTAACCAACTCAAGTCACCTGGATCTCTCCAATTTTACATCTTTGGTGATTCTCTTAGCTACCATGCCACCTTTTCCATCAGTGGAATTCACTGTCATTCATTTTAATTCAAGTCAACAAATGAGTGAAATCAGTGAAGATCCTAGCCCTTTGCTAAGGAGATGTTTCCTTTCCATGTTAAGGGCATTAGGGAACAGCTTCTGAGGGAACTGTGATGACATGTATGGAAAGTGCCTTGGAGAGACAAACCATGGAATATTCATAGACATTCTGTAACAGATTCCAGTCATCTAACTGTGATGGAAAGGAGGCTGTCTGATGGGCCTCAGAGGAATTCAAAAAGGCCTGCCAGATTCAGCTATGGTCTCTGCCTCCTTCCCCTCTAGAGGAATCTCAGTGATTTCTTCACTTGCAGCATCTGATGAGGGGAGTGCCATTGACTTTGGGGATTCAAAAGGTCCAGAAGGCTCCTTAGCATCCCCTCATGTCTGAATCTGGGTTTTACAGCCAGTCTAGCATCATGCCCTGAGGAGCAGTGAGTGACCTTTGGGATCCTGATTCCAGGCCAGCAGTAGCTGAGAAGCAGGCTTATCTAGCAGTCATATTGCATTTGAACATGAAGTTGGTGAAACCAATACTGTGGAGGAACTGAGCTAAGTTGAGGCTATTCTTCCCAGAGACAGAAGTGATATGGGAGCAAGTATTCCCCTGAGGCGTTGGGAGAAAAGACTGTGTGTTAGTTGTGGCCAAGCCCTCAAAGTAAACATCCTTGTGTATAAGCTAACGGATGTTAAGTGGTTAAATGGAACTGCACAGCTTGTTACTACTGGCTCCCTAAGGATGGAGGGAATACAGCTAGTGAGGGCTTGAGCAACAAGAGTAGAAACACCAAAGAAACACATCTACTAAGTTACAGAGGGAGTTTTGGTTCCCGATGGTGGAGGGAGTGCCCATCTTAATGAAATCACAGATAGTTGAAATACAGAATAAAGATGTCACCATTTTACTCATACTCCTTCATTCATTGAGGAAACAATTCTTGAGCACCTACTGTTTTACTGAGACCTCTGTGGGGTTAACAGACCCCTTCCTCCCCGCCCCTTGGAAGAGCTGAAGTTTCTCCTATTAAGATCAGGTGAGTACAAGATGCTTTACCTCTAGGAAGTCCAGCTACTGCCAGAGCTCTCACAGGCAGGAAAGAGCTACGGTCCCATACACATTATGTGTGTGTGTGTGTGTGTGTGTGTGTGTGTGTGTGTGTGTGTGTGTGTGTGTGTGTGTGTGTGTGTGTGTGTGTGTGTGTATAATTTATTTATTTTTCCTCAAGCACTACAAGGAACTGGCATATCTGAGGATCTATAACTCGTCCATGATGCTGATGACCAAGCACTCTGCAAGTCACAAGAGATTCAGCTGAGGGAACTAGAATGTTTAACTTGGATTCAAGTCAATTCAGCAAGCATTAAGCACCTACTGTGTGCAAGTAAAACTTCAGGGAACATGATCTCTGGCTTAAAGTACAAGAAGGGCTGTCATGGGAGAGAAAGGTCAAATTTGTGTTTGACCCCAGAGAACAGAACTAGGACCAAAGCAGAAAGTTTCAGGAGCCAGATTTTGGCTGAGTACAAGGGAAAACTTCCCCAATACAGCAGCCTAGACCGAAGCCACTGCTTCAAAGGATAGAGGGTTCTTTATCACCAGAGGTTCCGGCTACACGTGAAAGGGATTCCTTTCAGGTGTGTGTTAGGGAAGTCCCTTTCTCCTGCTAAGGTTCTCCGTGTACAGAGAGCTCCCCAGAGCGGCAGGGGGATAGCTAAGCCTCAAACTCTTGCCCTCCTTATACTTAGGCTTCCCTTCGTAGAATTTTCTACGCCTTCCATCCACTTCTAGATTTCTCTCCCAGAATCCTATCGCTGGGATTCCTTGGATCTCACCCCAAAGCACTACTCAGTTGTGGGGGGGGGGGGGTCTAGCCCCTCAGACAGCTTGCCACCTTTGAAACAAGACAAAAACAATACAATGAGGGGAAGAAGCCCCTGCGGGTTTCTTTGGGGAGGGGGGGTGCCTTCTTTCGCCTCTCCTTGACAATGGTGCTCGAGCTCCAATCCTAAAGGTTCCAGGGCACGGCCCGTGTACGGGTGTCTAGCCTCCAAGTAGCGCGGGGGCCGGCGTGCATTACTGCGTCCTAGCCAGGGGATCGACGGAGGCGTCCCAGGCAGTGGCCGCGGGGAGGCGGACTTGGCCTACCAGAAGCCGGTGCTCTTCCAGAAAGGCTTCAGCTGCCCTGTGGCTGTGGAGGCGTCCACCGAGAAGAGGCACGAGGCGAAGGTTCGCGGCAGCAAGGCCAGGAGCAGCATTAACGCCGCGGCCAACGCGCTCCGAGCCCCCATCCAGCCGCCGGCCCAGAGCCGCTACAATGTCGCCAGGCTCCGCTACAATGTAGCTAGCTCCCGCAGCTGGCAGCCGGCTTCCGGCTCCTCGGAGGAAGACAGCGGGCCGCCCCTCCTAGCCCAGCAGCGCTCCGCTTCGCTCAGGCCTCCCCAGGAGAGCGCGCGCAGCCCCGGAATCACAACACGCATCCTCTGCGCTCCCGGCAGGGAGCCCCACTCCCACTCCCGGGAGAACGGATCCTCCCTAGCGGTTTCCTGCGTCTGCAGCAGCTGCTTCCTGATCCAGCTCTTCCGGGCAGCGTTGAGTCGTGTTGGGGGCGGGGCGGGGGTATTCCTGGACTCTGCCCACGAGGGAAGAGCTGGAGCCCTGTCTAGGGGAAAGGGTTAGAGTCCAATGATCTGGGGTCAGAATCCTAGAATCAGGAGCTGTCAGGGATAGTAGAGGCCACGGCGTCCAACCTCTAATTTCACAGATAGGAAAACTGAAGCTCAGAGAGGTCATTCAAGATCACACAGCTAATAAATAGTAGACCAGGTACTTGGAATCTAGGTCCCTGACTCCAAATCCAGGCCCAGCCTGCCTTTCCCAACCAATTCAATCATAATAATCATAGCCTGGAAGAGACCTTAGAAGACCTTAGAAAGCTCCTTTTGCAGATGAGGAAACAGACCCAAAGAGAAGTGACCTGCCTTAGGTGTTCTGACTCTAACTCCAGCATTCTTTTCACTACTTTCACTTCAAGTTTACAAAGCAACCTGAACAAACAGAGATTAAATTCTTCCTTCTCAGAGAGGTAGGAGAAGTAGAGAGATAAGTTTGACACAAGGGAGGGTGTGGAGCAAGGTGTAGACTCTTTCTCTGTGCTCTAGGAAAGTAGCTGATAGAGAGCAGGAAAGGCTTCCGGGAGAGTACAGAGTCTAGGAGCTGGCCCCTTGAAGGAAGGCTTTGTCAGATTGGGAGGGTAGGAGTTTGCTCCCAAGTATTAGGCCAGATTGTACAAAGAGAGGACCTGGTGGGGGAATAGCTAAAGTCTGGAGCAGGGCCCTTGAATGTGGTAACTTATTAAAGTTTTTGGCTTTTAATAGGAAATTTTTGCCCCTTTGGTCAGGGGTGAGGAACCTGGGGCCTTGAGGCCACATGTTATGCTCTAGGCCCTTGGGTGAGGCTTTTTGATGGAGACCAAATTTTACAGGACAAATCCTTTTATTAAGAGGATTTGTTCAGTGAAGTTTGGATTCAGTCAAAGGGCCACACTTGAGGACCTAGAGGGCCACTTGTGGCCTCTGGACTGCAGGTTCCCACTTGGGTTATATTTCTGTCAGTTGAGTTAGAAACTGAAGTCCTACACATCCAGATACACAAAACTTAATGCTGTCTTATACCACCATTAGCTGAGTCCTGAACCGCAGACCTAGTTTCTTAGACCAGTTTCTGACATTTACTGGCTCTTGCCCTTTTTCTGAACCTCATTTTTAGCTTCTTTAACAGGGGAGATGAGGCAGCTAGGTGGCACAGTGGATAGAGCTCCGACCCTGAAGTCAGGAGGACCTGAGTTCAAATCTGGCCTCAGACCAAACACTTGACACTTACTAGCTGTGTGACCCTGGGCAAGTCGCTTAACCCCAACTGTCTAAAAATAAAACTAAATAAATAAAAGGGGGGCTAGTAATGCTCTCTCTGCCTTTGTCATAGGGATAATGTGAGGATCACAGGGGATCGTGAGAAATAGTAGGATATCGAGGTCAAAGTGCAAAGGTTTGGAAGTTACAAGACAAATGTCGGTCCCAGCTCCCACATTTATTGGGTTTGTGACCACGGTTAAGTCAGCCAGTCAGTCAAAAAGGATTTATTACTGGCAGGTCCCTGGAAAAAGGAATGAAAGCAAAAAGAAAGACAATCCCTGCCCTCAGGGAGCTTCCACTCAAATGAAAGACTACACATAAAAGGGAGCTGAAAAGGGGAGGGGTGGAGGAGAAGGCATCCTTGGGGGAATGGGGGGGGGGGATGGTGGTGAAGTCCAGAGAAGCGACAGAAGAGAAAGGAAAGACTGACCTAGACCCTAGGAGTAGCTTACAAAATGGGAGAAGGGGGCTCTTGGGACAAAGGGATGTTCCAGGGTGAGAAAACCATAAGGTATGAGGAAAATTCCATGGTGAGAAGGAAGCTGAGGGAGGCATGGTAGTAAAGTATAGAGAGTCACTAGTGAGGAATGGTAAGTCTTAACTTCTTTGGGCCTTAGTTTTCTTATTTGTATGATAAGGATAATAATATTTATGCAACTTAACTCATAAAGATGTTATACAGAAAGCTTTGTAAACCCTGAAGAGCTATCTATAGAAATGGGAATGGTTATTATTATTATATCTCTGACCAATAAAAGCAGCTAGTGGTGCAGTTGATAGAGTGCTGAGCCTGGAATCAAGAAGCTCTGAGTTCAAATCTGACCTTGGACACATACTAGCTATATAACCCTGGGCAAGCCATTTAACCTCTGCTTGCCTCCATTTCTTCAACTGTAGAATGAGGAAAATACTTTGCAGGATTGTTCTGAGAATCAAAAGAGATAATACTTGTCAAAAAAAAAAATTAGCGTAGTGCCTGGTATAAGGTGGGTGCTATATAAATGCTTATATTGGCTGTGTGACCCTGGGAAAGTCATTTGTCTTCCCAGTGCTCAAGGCAGCCCTCTAAGATTATAAGTAGCAGAGAAGGTACAGGCCTGCACTGAAAGAGGGAATTTCCTCTCCACGGAGTTCCCTATCCCAGTAAAATCAATGGGCCAGCCCCTATCCCCATGTGTGAGAGCCCTCTACCAAAGTGCTTCCCCCAAAGCTTCTTGACAGGGCAGAAATGACGCTGGGTTCTTGGAGTCTAAACCAGTGGGTTGGACTAGATAATCTCTAAGGGTTTCTGTCTTTGGCTCTCTGATGCCAAGAGTACAAGCTCAAGAGTAAGGTTTCCAGGACCGCCTAGGCCTTCCTGGTTGGAGGCAGAGATTCTTAGGGGAGTGCCAACAAGGGATGAAATTACCCACGATGCATCACTGCAATTTTTAAATACTGGCTACTGAGGCACACAGAGAGAGAGAGAGTCTGCCATAGTGAAATCCCAGGCCCTCAAAGTGTTAAAGTAATGGATGCTAAAGTGTTTTGGAAGCTGTTAAGTGCCAGACAAATGTGAGAGAATATTAGCAAGAGGATGATTACATGTAGGGGATGCTCGTAGGTTTATTTTGGTGTTGATCCCTTGATATATGAGGTGATGGATGAGGAAATGCTTTGAGAAAATATAAAGCCCTATAACCTACAATTACGAGGTCTGGTAATCATTCTTCAGAGAAGAAAGAGAGAACCCACCCAGATGGAGTTAGGAAAAGCTCAGTCATTGCCTATTGTTTAACAGGACAAACCTAAACTATTTATCTTGGCATTCAAAGCTGTCTACCACCTGGTTTTCTCCTGCTACTCCAAATCTTGCAACCTCTACTTTTTAACTCAAGCCCTCCCTTCTGGCTAGCTAAATCCCTCCCTGGCACACATCAAGTTCATTGACACCTCTGAATTTTTGCTGAAGACTTCCCCCTGCCTGGAAAGATACTTCCTGTCTCCATTCAATTCATTTAAATTCAAATCATGCTTATTAAGTGCTTACAATGTGCCCAGAAGTTTTCTCATCTGTAAAATGAGCTGAGAAGGAAATGGCAAACTGCTCCAGTATCTTTGCCAAGAAAACCCCAAATGGGGTCATGAAGAGTTGGAAATGACTGAAAACTACTGAATAACAAACAACAACAAAGGGGAAGACCCTAAAATTAAATAATACCTAGGGCCTGCCCTCATGAAGCTTACAGTCTAGTAGGGGGATGACATACACACAATTATACTACATACTACTATATAGTAAATATATGTAAGGGGTAGCAGAAAAAAGTTCTATCTGAGGTCATAAGATGAAGGTTGCTACTAATTGGAGGGACTCAAGAATGCCTTGGTGGCAGAGGTGCCATTTGAGCTGGATTTTGAAGGATTATTAGGATTTTCACAAGGAGAGACTGAAGAGGTAGGGAATGGATACTATCCCAGCAGAAGGGAAGAGCATAAGGAAAGGCATGAAGGTGGCCAAGTAGAGTGCACTGATGATGGAGGTCAATCTAGCTAGAGGAGAGGAGCAGGAGAACAGATTAGAAAGTTAGGGTGGCACCAGACTACTGAAAGCGTTGAACACAGGAAACATTCAAGCCTGCCCATCCTTCAGGGCTCAGCTCACCCTCTCTACCCTCCTTCCCTCCTCCTGCAAGATAAGATTCCTTTCCTGACTAACTCCTGTCTCACTGACCTCTTTCTTTTATGCATCCCTATAGCTTATTATCTGTGGTGGACCATCTATTCTACCTCCTTTAAGTGGGTAATTAGTTGGGTAGATCGGGAAACTACTGCATACAGTATGTATAATATGACTGAATTTCATTGTGGTCAAGTTGGAGAGCTGGAGGCTAGATGATATACAGGGCTTAGTTTGTATCATCCCTATCTCTGTAACCCCCTGTGTAGAAGGTGGGACCTTACCCATGGAAAATGCTTAGATGCATGTAGAAATACTGGCTGAAGTCAGATGTGCTCAGAGCTGAATGACTGCATGAACCCAAGGACTAGTGATAAAAAACCTTAGAACAGATGTGTCTGAGGCTGCAGGCCAGCTTTGTGGCCAAGATAGGCAACACTCCCACCTGGTTGAAATGCAATTGGGGAATATTTAACAAAATAAAAATACAGTAGAACACAAATAGTGTGAATATGTGGTTTTCTAAATCAATATACTGCTTGCTGGCATTCTTAAGTAAAGGTTTAGTAGCCCCTGTTTTGATTTGAGTTTGATATCACTGCCCTAGAGGCAGGTTTCTGGTGTCACAGTCCAGGGATCTGTCTGGACTCTGCTCAACATTTGTCTCAATGATTTGGATGCTTATCAACTTGTAGATGCCATGAAATTGGAATGACAAGTGGAATGACAGAATGAGAACCAGAGAGAGGCAGACAAAGAGAGGTCTCAATCGACTGAAACTGAAGATTAGTTTAAGGTTCTAAGAATGGTTAACTTGGAGAAAAGGGTAAGAGAGATTTTAAATTTTAAATTTCAGAATTTAACTTCAAATTAAACTTCAAATATCAGAAATATTACTGGAAGTCAGATTTGGCCAGATAGCAATGGAAATGGGTGCTGTAAGAGGTGGTGAGACTCCCACAACTAGAAGTATTTTAGCAGAGGTCGGCTGACCATGTATCAGGGAAGTGGTAGAGAGGATTCCTGATATGATTTCAAGGACTAAAGTGCATCATTGCTTAGGAAGCACTCTAATAATTTGTTGAATAAGTGATACTGTCTAACATTTGATTCATTTCTATTCTCCCCTGTCTTGTTTTGTTCTGTGTTCTGTGCTATGGGCTCTTCCCCATAGTTAGCTCCCTGAGAACTGCTCCTTCTCTGGGTCCATCAGACTGGAGCTGAGCATGGAAGGATCCACAATAATATTCTAGTTGAGTTAAATCAGAAGGCCACTAACTAACCGTATTTTATGGTTCCACTTTAATGGATCTGTAATTTCATTCAAGGAGATAGCATAGTAGATAGAGAGATGGACCTGGATTTAAGTAGTCCTGAGTTCAAATCTCCCCTCAGATACTAGCTATGTGGTGCTGGGCAAGTCACTTAACCACTGTCTGCCTCAGTTTCCCCATCTGAAAAGTGAGAATGATAATAATAGTACCTACCTCCCAGGGTTGTTATGAGGGGGGGAAAATCAAAGAAAAGCATGTTATTAACCTTAAAGTACTATATGAATGCTTATCATTATTCTTAGCTAGCTTGTAGTTGGCACCAACAAAAGGAAAAGGATCTTGTAAAGTGCCAGGCTGCAGACCTGTAATTTCTGCATAATGCTGCTGGAAATTCAGTTCAATAAACATTTAGAAGCATTTGTTCTGGGCTGCACACTGAGGGAGTGTAAGAGATGAATAGGACCTGATTTCTGCTCTCAGCAAGCTCCCAATCTAGCAGAAGAGAAGAAACAAGGGCTCTAAGAACTATAATAAAAATGAAATCATGGCAGTTACAAAAGAAAGGTGCCCAGCAAGCCCAAAGCTTAGGGAGGAAAACCCATTTCTAGGATCTTAGAGCTGGAATGGACCTTAAAGCTCTAGTCTAACTCTCTTATTTTATTTACAGAGGGGGAAACTGAAGCTCAGAGAAGGGAGGGACTTGTCCGAAGCCACAAAATTAATAAAGGGCAAAGCCAGGAGGGAACCCACAGCTCTCCTGACTCCAAAAATCAGTACTCTGTACATTACGCTAAGATGCCTCTATTTCTGCCTGGGAATCTTGGATGCCCTAGAAAAATGTAGAGGGAATCCAGGTTGTGGCCTGAATGAACCTCCTCCTCTAGGCTCAGGTGAACAGCAGAGATAGAGTAGGAGGAGGAGCACAGAACAGGGTTGGGGGAAAGCCTCTACTGACTTGGAGCCAGAATTCAACTCAATAATTCGACAAACTTCTATTCTGGGTCAGGCAGGATACTACTGGCTGGGGTAGCAATGTCAAGAATGAAATAGTCCTCGTTGCAGGAGACCTCAGAGGCCATCTAGTTCACCCTGGTCCATCATTTTACAGATAGGGAAACTGAGGCCCAAAGAAGTTAAAGTGACTTGGCTGGGATAACAGGTGGTAAGTAAGCCTCAGAGGCTGGATTTGAACTCAGGTCATCTGATTTCAGGCTCAGTATGCTTTCCATTATATCAGTCGGAGAAAGATAACGCTGAACTTGGGAATCAGGAAGGTTTTGAGTTCAGATTCTAGTTCTGAGGCTCACTAGCCATATGTCAATAGAGAAGTCTTTGAACCTCAGTTTCCTCATCTAGAAGTGCCTTATCATAATGTCTGTAGTACTTAACTCACTGGGTTGGTTGTGAGGCTCAAATGAGATAATTTATGTAAAGCTCTTTGCAAATTTTAAACTTCCGTATAAATGTCAATTATTGTTTATTATTCTTATGCCTACTGGCGGATAGAAACAAGTAAACAGATAAGTAAATGCAAGATAATAGGAGGAAAGGCTTCCCAGTACTAGGAGGAAAGGAGATGACCCCGGAGCTGAGCCTGGAATGCAGTTGAAGAGTCTGAGCGAAAGAGGCCAGGAGGGATCACCAGTCTTGGTTCTGCTAACTCGCGAATCCTTTCTCCTCTCTGGGCCTCAGTTTCCTCCTTTGTAAAACGACAGTGATGACCTCGGGGAGATCTAATGTAGCCCCTACCCCACCGCGTTTACAGTTGCTGGCGAGGAGTGAGGAGGTGGGAAGGCTGGTTCCTCCATGCGCTCTGCTCCTCCCCTCCCCTCCGCGGCGCCCAAGTCTTTCAGCCAGCCCCGAGCCCGCACCGCCTCGCACCTGCGGGGTCCCCAGCCTGGAGGCGACCCCGCCCCGCTCCGCCCCGTCCCTTACGGTCCCACCCCCTGCGCCCGTGTGCCCGGAGCCGGCGCCTCTGGGCATGCTCAGTAGTTCAGTGGCCAAGGTCTGGCCGCCAGTCGGAAGCTGTGTGCGTCTCCGGCTCTAACCCCCGGCCGGGCCCATGCGGACTGCGGAGCTTGAAACCCCCCGTGCGCCCTGGGCGCCCTGCGCCTAAGTCCCCGGCAGGCTGCGGGCCGGATGGCGGCGGCGGCGGCCACGGGCGCTCGCTCCTGGTTCGGCGGAGGCGGCGGCGGCGGCGGCGGCGGCGGCAGCAGCAGCTCAGGCTCGGGCTCGGGCTCCGGCTCCCGTCTGGGGAGCCCGGCCTCCAGCCCCCAGCTCGGCGGCGGCGGCAAGGGCCGCCCGCAGCCCGGCCACACGGGCCAGGGGCAGGGCGCCGGGCAGGGGCAGGGACAGGAGCCGGGCCCCAAGCCCTCGGCGTCCCCCGCCGCTCCTCCGGGCCACAGCTTCAGAAAGGTGACGCTCACCAAGCCCACCTTCTGCCACTACTGCACCGACTTCATCTGGGGACTGGCCGGCTTTCAATGCGAGGGTGAGTGCGGGGACTCCCAGACCCCCTTCCCAAGTACAGATCTCTGACTGGGACCCCTCATCCCCAACTCAGCAGTACGTTCCATCTATGGACGCTTCAGCTCCTCCTGGGGCAACCTTGAACTCACTCCTAGGGCTTAAAGCCCCTCCAGAGACCCTCCGCAGTGGGTGTACGTCTGTCTAGGACCCCCTGACTCTTCATTAGGGATGGGCGCTAGTCTAGGACCTAGTACTCCTCATTCCTCCCCCCCTCCCAATTTAGGGCAGATCTTAGCTAGGGACGCCTGACCCACCTCCGCCCTGAGGACAGATCTCAGGCCAGTCTCTTGTGCCATTCACTACCTTCCTTGCTATGAGATCCAAGCTTTTGTCCCCTGGGTCTTGATGCTGGGACCCTTACATCTCTTCTCCTGCCTGCTCTCCTCTGCATCATCCCGTCCAGGCTATCCGGGTTCTAGATTTGCCAGCTTCTTCCTCTATAGAGGTATAGCTTGGAAGCCTGACCTGGGGTGAGGAACACAGAATTGGAGAGCAGGCCAGGTTAGGTTTGGGGGTCTCTGTATGGAGATTGGAGGGAGGAGTAACCCTCCCTAATTCAAGGTCCTATGTTTAGCCTGGAGAAAAAAGGATTTATGGGGCATATTGACCTGCTAGACGTCACCTTTCCACCAAACCTCTGTCCTCATTCTAACCTCGTCTGGAAGGACCTATTCCTTCCTCTCATAGATAGCATTTTGTATTTATCATACAGTGTAGTGAAATATGGTTACCTATGCCTTCTAGTAAAAAGTAAGCTCTGGGAGGCAGGGTCTAGATAGTTTCTAAGCTTTGTGGCTTCCCCAGCCTTGAGCACTCTATATACACAGGTGGAATCTGTTGAATTGACATTGTTCCTATATGTTAGGGGAGCATTCTGGGAGCTTTGGTTGTGTGCCACCTCCGCCTCCCTCACCCTGTAGTGCTGTTGGCTTTTCATCGGCAGTCAAATCCCTTTTCTATGCAGAGACCAGTGCTGGGTATTTGGGGATGGGGGGAGACAGAGAAGCAGACCAGGCCCCTGCCCTTAGCTGGGGAGTCTGGCAGCTCTGGATGGTTCAAGGGAGAGGTCACTTCAGGATGGTGTGGTCAGGGAGGGCTTCCTGGGGAAGCTGGTGCGCAAACAGAACCATGGTTTGGATTCAGATGGGGCCATGGAAGGTATGGTGTGAGCAAAGGTGGCGATGCCCTGCGTGTGTGGGGGTAAAGCTGGGAGTCCAGGAGCCCTTCCTATGGAGGTCTCTGTGTACATCTCAATCAGGTCAGTGTTGGGCCCCCTGGGAGCTCCCCTGAGAGCACAGTCCTGCTCCCAGGAGACCAGGGTGCAGCTCTTCACACAGCTGTCCTGATAGCCACAGGCTGGCTGCAGGATTAGATCAACTCCTTGATGCATTTTGTAAACAGTAGAACGTTAGAACCCGGATAGGAATGGACAGGGACTGGAGTGGGTGGTATTGCTCTAGTATTGGTGTAGAGGGTCTCCGAGATGAGAAAGCTCCTTCTGTCACACATGTTAGTAGCTTCTGGAGTCAGCAAGCATTTATGAATGCCTACTATGTTCCAGTCACTGAGCTAAATGCTGAGGATAAAAAAAAGGCAAAAGGTAGTCCCTTCTCTCAAGGAAGTCCCAGTCTAATGGGATGACAAGATGCAAACAACTACATACAAACAATCTATATACAGGATAAATTGGAAATAATCAACAGAGGGAAGGCCCTAGAATTAAGGAGGATTGGGAAAAGCTTCTTGTAGAAGGTGGTGTTTAGCTGAAGGAAGCCAGAAGGCAGAGAATTCCAGGCATGGGAGACAGATAATGAAAATGCCCAAAGTAGGGAGATGGAGGGTCTTGTGTGGGGAAGAAGCCAGTGCCACAGGATTGCAGAGTCTGATGCATCCATAGTTTTAGAGAAAGGAAGGACTTTAAAGTATGGAATGTCAGAATTGGGAAGGATCTTCAAGACCAGACCCTTCATTTTACATTTGGGGAAACGGAAGCTGTGTAACACAGAGCAAATTCATAGTAGAGCCTGAACCAACTCTTGGGGATTTTTTGGACCCATCTCCCCCCTCCTCAGTTTTTACTGTGCTTATTGACTGCTGTGCAGAAAGGGAGCCCACTCTTGGCAGATAGCAGGCGTTATGTATGCTTATTGTTTCAAGGATCCAGAACTGAAAGGCATTTAGTCCACCACTCCCCCATTTTACAGTTGAGAAAACTGAGACTCAGAAAGGTTCAGTGATTTGCTATGGGTAGTGCAGTTAGCAAGTGATAAAAGCAGGCCCACATCAGTCAGCTGACTGATCTTTTCCATGGTGCCTAGTGGCCTCTCATTTAATTTTCCATGTTCTTGGTGGATTGTAACTCACTGATTAATGATACTTTATGAGATGGAGCTTAGGGCAGAGTAGGAAGAAGTCTCTACTTGGAGCCCTAAATGCTGAGTTTGAATGTCACTTCTGCTACTTAGAAGTTATGTGTGACCTTGGGCACATCGTTTCACTTCCAGAGGTATCTTTAATATCTGTAAAATGGGATTATTAATGCTTACCTCACTGGACTGTTCTCAGGAAAATGCTGTGTAAACTATAAAATTCAATACAAGTGAATCATTTTTATTACTACTAATGATAACAACAATTTAGTTTTGTGGCCCTGGGGCCCTTGGGGAGCCATGATATGGGACAAAGGAACCATTGTAGTAATAATACTGGGTGTGCAGTGTTGGGTCCTGCTAGCTGTCTTTGAACTTCTCACCTTCAGTCTGGGAGAGGATGATATCTGGAGAGCCCTTACCTGGAGGAGAATCATAAAGGAGGGATAATTACTGTAGCAGTATGCATTTCTATAGCTTTTTAGGGTGTGTCCCTTTCAAGGCCCCTGACAAGGAGGTAGTCCATTTTTATCCCCATCTTACAGATGAGGCCCAGAGAGGGAAAACCACTTGCCCGAATTACACAGCAACTAAGAGGCAAAGGCAGTCCTTGAATGCAGGCCCTCAAACTCTAGCCTTCAGTACTCTTCCTACTGTTCCTGACTGGTTTTCTTCCTCATACTATGGACCAAACCCTTTCCCATTTCCTCTGTCACCTTAGTTTCCTTCCCACCCCTTTCTGCCCCCATTAGTAGCGGCTTCTGAAAATGACTGCTATTAGCCACTTAAGCAGGCCAACAAAAGACCCTGGGGTTTAAAGGAAAGAACACTGGAGGCAGAGGGCCTGGGTTTGTATCCTAGCTGTGACTTCTCCCTCTATCACCTTGGTCATCTCTTCTTTCTTAGCTCATTTTCCTCATCCCTTATTGGATGAGAGCCAAGATTATCTTTTGGGGGGGTGGTGAGGCAGTTGGGGTTAACTGACTTACCCAGGGTCACACAGCTAGTAAGTATCAAGTGTCTGAGGCCAGAGTTGAACTCAGGTCCTCCTGACTCCCGAGCTGGTACTCTATCTACTGTGCCATCTGGCTTCCCCCAAGATAGATGATCTTTAAGGCTCTTCCAGTCCTATATCCTAGGAGATGACTAGAATCTGGTAATGGTTAAAAAAAAAAAGGCGTTTTTTGAAAGGAACATATAAGGTCCAGTTGTCCAACATAGGATGGTGTTGTGGAAATAGGCCTGGGAGTTAGGATGCCTGGGTCCAGATCCCATCTGTCTTACTTCCAAGTTATATAGTCACTGGGAATGTACTTTCCCAGAGCTTCCATTTCCTCAATGGTGTATCGGCTGAGATGTGGCTCCCCACCTGTTTGAGAACGAGGACCTCATTTTTCATCTCCAGTCTTTCAGATTCTGCCCCCTCCCCATATGATAGTAATTATGGTATTAGCTATAATGTCTTGATTAGAAAAAATATATGTGACTAAAAGCTACTATGAATTCGGGAGTGCTTTTTTTAAGTGAGTTATATTTTTAGTAATCACAATAACATCTATGTGCATATGAAAAATGGAAACACATATGAGTGAGATGTATTATTTATTGTCTACAGAAGGTATAACTTCTTATTTGTGGATTTGCAGACCCCTTAAAAATAAACTCCAGCCTCGAAGGAATCCATAGCCCTCAAGTTGGGACCCACTGGACTAGAGATTTTCTAATTCAATTCAATATTTATTAAGAACCTACTACTATGGATGAGGCACTGTAGATGCATCCATCCCTGGTTCAAGATTTTCAGCATAAAGGCTGTATACAAAGCAGGCCTCTGGGAACTTTTTGAACCTGCGGTCGGTGATCCTCAGTGACTGTCGTGAAACAGCCACCTACCTCCTGAAATTTCTCCTTCCCCCATCAGGACTGGTGGGAAGCCATGAGTCCTGGCAGATCCTGTAGGGTTAATAGGCTGCCGAAGATGGGATTGTTGCCTACAAATAATATAGCTCTGCCATCCCAAGCAAGCCCTGACAGGACTCCTAGGGAGCAGAAGTAAGCCCTCACATTGGGAAAATACCTTCTGTACTTAAGCCTTTAACTTCTCTCAGGCCGATTTTGAGCTTAAGCCTGGTTCTCTCCTGAGACTGGCAGAGACGATTAGCAGCTATGTGAGCTGAGAGGTACTAAGGAGGATCTCTGTTCTCCAGGGCCCTCTAGACAGGCAGGTGTCCGATGTTTGGGATTATGCTGGGAGCCAGGCAAGCCGGGGATGGAACTCTTGGAGGGAGAAGCTGTCTAGAAACAGCTCAGAGTTGGGCCCTTCAGGCTGCCCCAGTGGGGATGAGGCCAAGTGCAGGCAGGAGGTGGGCTTTGGGCCTAGAAGACAGCTGTCTGTGAATCCTTGAGTATGCACTCTGCTTTACTCCAGTAAAGGAATCCCGACATTGTTGGTTTCAGCCATTGTCACTGAAGAGCTTTCCTGCCTTCAGCTCCCTGGCAGCCGGAGGGAAATCAAGGGGTCTGCCTTGTACCTCATCGGTAATGGAGTGAATGTTTTTGAAGAGGGCCTTGTGCTTGGTGCCGGGATACTGAG